TAAGGGAGGTTTTGGTGTTCATAATGTTTCTTATATAGGCTCCAAACCCTAAATATTAGGGTTTCACCCTGACATTAGTATGCCCATCGTACACAAGTGTACTAAGGTGGACCTTAGTACGTTTAACGTACTCTTATGTACGCGTAGCGTACTCCCTCTTGGCCCAAGTTTGCAAACTTGGCCCTTAAACTTATCTTGGCTCTTCACTTCCAACTCCAAGGACTCTAAATGACAAGGTAATGGTAGAAAAAGGTTCGGGAATACCTGCCAAATATTGGGATGTTACACAACTACTAGCTATTTGTTATGGAGTGATTTGGAGTATCTAGAAGGCGAGAAACGATCTTATCTTCAACATGAGATGCTTTTATATTTCAAAAATTGTTGATGGTGTTATTTCTAGTTTGGATGATTGGCGGAAATTTACGGGTAAAAATGTTCATATCCATTAGGTTGGTTAGTGTCTTTCTCCTTTTAACTCTGTATACTTTTTTTATACTCTCCTATTTTTGCTAGTGTCTAGCGACTTGCTAGGCACACGATGTTTCTTAATATATCTCGTCAGTTACAAAAGAAAAAAAAGTAAATACTAGTGATTATTAATATTAAGGGAAAATGACTCAGGAGGGTAACCAAGTGTTGATTTTGTTCACATTTGGTACCTTTCCTTGTTTTTATTTTATGTAATATACCATCAGACTTCTTGTTTTTGTTCACCATAACCCTTTTATAGGCTATCACATGTGATAGTCATTCAAATGGGTTATGGTGAACATAACTAACAAGTTCGATGATATATTGCGTACAAAAAAAGGTAAGTGCCAAATATGAATAAAATCAACAGTTGGTTACCCCCCTTGGCCATTTTCCATTTTATTAAAAATGAGTTGAAATATGAATTGGAAATCAATGAGATAGTATATGTCAAGTCCAATTATATATTGGAGGAATAAAGGGGTTCGTCAACTGTTATTGGAAAAATCTTTCAACAAGTGCAAATCGAAGTACCAAAAATTGTAATAAAAACATTAATTAAGTTTTTATGTTTAGTTCTTCTCGTATGAATGTGAAATCCATGAACATGTATAACATCAACATCACATGCTAAAGTTGACGCTGATCAACTTAATTGGACTAATGGAAACTCTTGCCAAACTTTTTCTAATGATTTCTGGGAGGACATGTATAGGGTTTCTGTAGATGATGAGGATGGTTAATACAAACCTTTATCAATAAACAAAAATATATTTATCTTTTTTAAATAAACTAGTAGGTCAAGAGATGAATTCACTTGAGATATCTAATGAGTATCAGTGAACCCTTTCTAATGACAACTTTGATACGAGGAGAAGAGGGCAACGAGTAAAATGTAGAATTCGGGGTTTGATTCACTATACACAAATGTTTTATTTAGTAAAATAAAATTTAACATTGCTTCTGGGAAAATAGGGAAAATGACTAAGGAGGGTAACCAATTGTTGATTTTCTTCACATTTCATCACTTTCCTTTTTTTGTGCGTAATATACCATCGAACTTGTTGTTTGTGTTGACCATAACCCTTTTGATAGGCTATCACATATGATAGTCGGTCAAGTGGGTTGTGGTGAACATAACCAACAAGTCCGATAATATATTGCGTATAAAAAAAGGTAAGTGACTAAATGTGAATAAATTCAATATTTGGTTACCCTCCTTGGTCATTTTCCCTTTTATTACAAATGAGTTGAAATATGAATTGGAAATCAATGAGATAGTATACAAGTCCAATTACATGTTTGGAGGGGGGGTCAACTATTATTGGTAAAAAATTTCAACAACCGCAAATCTAAGTACAAACAATCGTAATAAAAATATTAAGTTTTGATGGTTATTTCTTCTCGTATGGATGTGAAATCCACGAACATGTATAATATCAACATCAAATGCTAAAGTTGATGTTGATCAACCTAATCGGACTGATGGAAACCCTTGTCAAACTTTTTCTAATGATTTTGAGGAGGATAAGTATAGGGTTTCTTGAGATGACGAGGATGGCTAATACAAACCTTTATCAATGAACAAAACCATATTTTATCTTTTTTTAATATACTAGTAGGTCAAGAGATGAATTTACTTTAGATATCTAATGAGTATCAGTGGAACCTTTCTAATGACAACTTTGATACGTGGAGAAGAGGACAATAAGTAAAATGTAAAAATCGGGGTCTGATTCACTATACACAAATGTTTTCTTTAGTAAAATAAAAGGTTATTGTCACTATAGCCCAACCAACTTATCAAATTTGTTTTAAAAGGTCCCTCATCTTCTTTTTTTGCATCCGAGGGGTAGGAATTTGTGTTTTACCGGATAATTTAGGTAACTAACCCATTATAACCGGTTAGGTATGCAAAATAGGATATAAACTGCTGACATGTAGCCTCCTCATGTAATATTGGATTCCGTTTGGCTGTTAACATCAAGTGTATCACTTCCGAATTGCAACGCCAGCAAGAAGATCAAATGAAAGAAAAGGGTCCTTCAAATCCAAAACCCTCGCCTCTTCCCGTCATCCTACCAACTCTCTGACGGTTGCTCCTTTGTTCACTGTTTGTTTACCGCCTCAAAGACCACGGCTTTGTGCCGTTTTTTCTTACCACAGAAATGTCATTATGATTCGACAAGCCCCTTCCTTTTTCCTTCCATTTTCGTCCATTGGTTCTCTTCTTATCATCAAGATCTTCCAGTTGGATAAAAGTTTGGATTTGGGAGATTACTAGCGATGATGCCCTGAACGGAGCTAGCCATCAATTCACAATAGTTTGGTGTTATTGATTTTGATTAACTAGATTTCGCTTTAGTTATGGTTTCGTTTGATTTCGGTATGGATCTCACTGTTCTTTCGCTCTTTCTTTTTTCTGGGTTTTTTTGGTGTTCATTTTGGTTATCTTTTTCTAGTTTTTTTTGTGGTGTTCTTAATTTTTTAGGTTTTATTTTTTGTTCTTTTCGTTACTGGGTTTTGCATCGTAAGCACAGTGAGGATATTAGTGGTCGGGTATTTCGTCTCTCTTCGCCTTCTTGTTCCTAGATTAAACACTGCGAAATCGAGGTTTATTGTTAGGATTTTGCATCAAAAGTTGTTTGTAGCAACGAAGAGTCACTACAAATGTGTTGTTTTTGAATATGATGATTTCTTGCAGGTTCAAAAAATACGTTTGGAAGAGTAAAAGATTAATTTTGGAAATCAGAAGAGTCATATGTAAATTTATTGCAGGAACAATCAAAAGAGACACATGTGTAGCTTAAATTTTGCCATGGTTTTGATTTTGTCGAATTATTTATTTTGGATATTGATTTTTATTTTTGGATGGCATCTTCATGGATTATGGGATGGTGGACGTGGTTTGTTTCTGGGATAATCAAAGTGGAACAATGTAGTTGGGAGGCTAAGGATGAAAGTAGTTGAGAAAGGCAGAGGGTGGGAGACAATGGTGGTGGTCGTTGTGTGAAGAAGATGAGCAATCTAGTGATGAAGAACTGTGGACCATGTATTGAAAGTCTGACTAGCTTCTAGCCGGTAACAAGTTAAGAAACTAAAAAATAAGGACCTTTTAAAACCAAAATCAAGTTTACACCCTTATGATGCAAAAAATAAAGATTAGGGACCTTTTAAAATAGAAGATGTTATTTTGTTGAGCGAGAGTGATATTAACACGTAAAATAAAATGAAACCTTGGTTTTGGAAAAAATAGGGAAAATGACTAAGGAGAGTAACTGACTGTTGATTTTGTTTACATTTGATCACTTTCCTTTTTTTTGTGCACAATATACCATCGAACTTGTTGTTTGTGTTCACCATAATCTTTTTGATCGACCATCACACGTGATAACTGGTCAACAAGGTTATTGTCAACATAAACAATACGTTCGATGTTATATTGCATACAAAAAAAAAAGGAAAGTGACCAAACGTGAATAAAATCAACACTTGGTTACCCCTCCTTATTCATTTTCCCTTTTAATAAAAATGAGTTGAAATTTGAATTGGAAATCAATGACATAGTATATGTCATGTCCAATTACATGTTGGAGGAATGACGGGGTTCCTCATGTATTATTGGCAAAATTGTTTAACAAGTGCAAATCAAAGTACATACAATTGTAATAAAAAACATTAAGTAAGTTCAGATGGTTAGTTGTTCTCATATGGATATGAAGTCTACGAACATGTATAACATCAACATCAAATGCTAAAGTTGATGTTGATCATCTTAATCGGACCGAAGGAAACTCTTGCCAAACTTTTTCTAATGATTTATGGGAGGACATTTATAGGGTTTCTTTAGATGATAAGGATGGTTAATACAAACCTTTATCAATGAACATAGCTATATTTTATCTTTTTTTGAATATTCTAGTAGGTCAAAAGATGGATTTACTTAGGATATCTAATAAGTATAGTGAACCCTTTCTAATGATAACTTTGATAAGAGGAGAAGAGGGCAATAAGTAAAATTTAAAAATCAGGGCCTGATTCACTATACACAAATGTTTTCTTTAGTAAAATAAAATGAAACCTTGCTTTTTGGAAAATAGGGAAAATGACTAAAGAGTGTAACCAACTGTTGATTTTGTTCACATTTGATCACTTTTTTTTACGCAATATACTATCAAACTTGTTGTTTGTGTTCACCATAACCCTTTTGATCGGCTACCACTTATGATAGCTGGTTAAAAGGGTTAGGGTGAACATAAACAACATGTTCGATGGTATATTGCATACAAAAAAAAAAAAAAAACAAAAACAAAAAACAAAAACAAAAAAGACCAAATATGAACAAAATCAACAGTTGGTTATCTTCCTTAGTCATTTTCCCTAATATTAATACACAATAACCTTATATATCCAAAAGTAAATTGTTATTTATGAATGTAGGCTCTCCATACTTAAAATATAGGACCAATATAAGTAAGGTAATTATCGTTGAACAATGTTTATAAAATGTTTTAATAATGTCAAAACATGAAAAGTAATGACCAAATAATTGTATTGATCACTCACATGTATCCTCGTATAGGCTACTGATATTACATTACACAAAAAAATACATAGTGTTTTATGAGTAGCCTCTCGCAAATCGAAAGGTAACATACCAAATCATTTAAAAAAATATGAATAATTAATTTTTGAAATAAAATATAGAGAAATATGGAAAAAAAAGTTTTTTTTTTCCATTACCTCGGGTAGAAATCACTATGGGAAACAGTAGCAATGGAACAATCATTATCCCCATAATTGTAAAACTGTAACTTATCTGAAATATCATTCAGTTCCATGGTTTTTTCATCTATGAAAGGTGGATTAGAAGGGAGGGGTAAAGTTTCATCTTTTGCCAACATTTTTAGTACGATTGACATTGATGGTCTTAAAGATGGAGCTTCTTGTGTGCAAAGAAGTCCTACTTGTATCACCTTTTTAATTTCTTTGAGGTCATTTGTGTTGACATAATGCTGCATCATTAGATTCGGGTCGAATATTTCCTCAACCGTATCTTCCTGGAAATGATTCCATACCTAATACAACATAAAAGAATATTTTTAATTAGAAAATAAGTTATATTTTTTTTTGTACCAAATGAAATTATTATACTTACAATAGACACTAAGCTGTCAGTATATTCTAAGGTTTTGCTTTTGTTGTTTTCCATACCGGTGACTATCTCCAAAAGTAGCACACCAAAGCTATAGACATCAGCCTTTTCAGTTAACTGGCCATGGGCTAGATACTCTGGAGCCATATATCCTCTAGTGAAGTCGAAATAAAACTTAAAATTAGAAATTTAGAAAGAAAGCTGACGTGGCACAAATGAAAATACTTACAGTGTTCCAGCTATTGCAGTGCTGATGTGACTTTGATCATCTTGAAAAGATCTGGCCAACCCAAAATCAGCTATTTTAGCGCGAAGTCTCAAGTCTAACAAGATGTTAGCAGCTTTGATATCTCTATGAATAATTCGGTTCTTGGTGTTTTCATGAAGATAGACTAGGCCTTCTGCTGTACCACTAATGATTAAAAATCTTTTCTGCCAGTTTAGGGTCTTGCCTTTTGTTGCATCTATAGAAAGTTCACAAATTCTTCATAAATACATTATACACCACACAATCTAAGAATCATGAATTTTGAAATTTACCGAAAATGAAGAGGTCGAGACTCAAGTTGGGTAGATATTCGTATACAAGAATGCTTTCGGGTCCTGAACAACTGCATCCTAACAACCTCACAAGGTTTTTGTGTTCAACACTACTAATCATGTTAACTTCGTTATAGAAATCAGTTGCCCTGAATTTGTTGTTGAAGAAGAGCCTCTTCACAGCTATTTCTCTCCCATCTGAAAGAACTCCCTGATAGATAGATATTTCTCACTTCATATTAGTTGTTATTTAAATATCAGATGATTGTCCCACTTAGTGGGACAATCATCTGATTTCAAATGACTGGACTAGCATTTAGTCATCTAATATCAGATGACTAAAATCCAGTCACCTAATATTAGATGACTGAGGAGGTGTACTATAAAATAGTACCTTGTAGACAGTTCCGAATCCTCCTTGTCCGAGCTTATTGCATTCGTTCCAATTTGCCGTGGCTTTTTCAATAGTGGAGTATTTGAAATGTAAGCTACTGTCATTAAGCATCTTTGACAGTTTCTTTGCATCATAAGAGCCTGAAACGTTAACCAATCATTTGTTTGTTTCGCTAGTTTTATACTAATTTTTTTGCATGTTCACAATGGTGTAGAATAAATGGATTATATTATACCTCTTCTCTTCTTTTGTATAAGTCTATGTTTCATGATATACAAAATTATCATCAAAGCAACTGTGAGGACTGTCACGGAACTAACAATGGAAACCACGATAGCTAGTACCATCCCTACAAACACCATAAACAAAAATTCATCAGAATGATACATACAAAGTAAAATTGAATCACAAAGATATTTTATGTAAAAGTAGTATATAATTATAACTGTATTTTAATTATACCAAAGGGCTTTTGCCGTTCAAAAAAAAAAAAAAAAAAAAAAAAAAAAAAAAAAAAAAAACTTAACGAAAACTTTATTTATGAGAAAATTAAGGAAGACTTAAACATAATAAAAGTTAGCCCATGAAATTCCGGATAACTTATTAATTGAGACTATTAAGAAAAGATTGTGTGGTCAAATATATTCTCGGTTAGTTTATAACCATTTCTCACAAATATTTCAAAATAGTCAGTATTTTTTAATTTTTTTTAATATGGTCTTTCTGAATTTACTTTTCGATGATGCCAGCTGCATTTCGTCACATGTTGCGAAATTGCATCAAAAATAATTTTCCAAACTTCTTTCACATTTTGAACTATGAAAGTAATTATGTGAAACAATTTTGTACATATTTTGAACTATGAAAGTAATTATGTGAAACAATTTTATAACTTAAAGTAATTTCCCAACGTCCGTTTTTATGAATGGACAATGTTCTTAAAATATGGTTATTTTGTGACGTAACACTTCTGGTAAATATATGTACAAAAACGAAAAATAAAGTTAAAAACTAAAAGAAATACGTTTCTTTCCTAATTTATTTTGCAAAACAAACTGGTTTTTATTTTAATTAACAATTTGGAAAAAGAAATAGTATGGAAAAAATAACGAATAATTCTATAATATAATTTATAATTTTCCTTACCTCTATTGCTAGAGATAATTGCAACCGGTATAGGATTCAAAAAATCCGTATCAGAATACCGCATAAAACACCCGGAATTCAACGCCCTCCCCTCCGTCGACGGCAGACATTTCGAAATCGCCGCCGAAGCATTCTCCAAACACCTCCTACACTCCGCCGGACTCAAAGTCCTCCAACAATCCGCCATCACAAACACCGACTCATTCACATTCACCACACTCTCCCCCCTCGCAAAATAATCCCAATTCCCCGAACCCTCAACCACCGCATTCCCCACCGCCTCCCTCACCGCCGCCCCAAACAACCCACTCTTCGCCGTCGTATTCCCACAAACCACCATATCATTCGGTCCTGTATATTCATGAAAGAAGCTGTAATTTTGAACTCGCATAAAACAACCGTCGAGGTAAATCCTGCCGCCGTTGTGCGGGAAGCAACTTGGGAGAATTGTACGGGCTTCGGCGTAGCATAAGATGCAGTCTTGAGGTGAAAGGTCGCCGTAGCATTGTCCGAGCCCGTAGTTTCCGTCGGGTCCGGTGCCGGAGATGGCGGTGCCGTTACGGGAGGTTCGCAATAGTGTGCCGATTATCTCCATTGTACGGACGAAGTTTGGCATGAATAAGGTTATGTTGTTTTCTAGTTGTTGATCGCATGTCATGTTGATGATTTTGGATCTTGCGTTTCCTTCTGATCGAATTAGTAGTGATAGAATTACCATTAAAGCAACGAGAATCGATTTCTTCATCTTGTAATGACTAATGAGGTTTGGTTAACTGAATATAGAAGCTCTTCTACATATAGGAGTTTAACATTCTCATTAAGAAAAATAATAATCAGATATGAGAGATTCGTGTTATGTTAAAAAATAAAACAATTTATTTAATATAAAAGGTGCGAAAGTGGGAAAGTCGTGAAGTTTTTGATACCCGGAATCTGATGTAGAGATGAAAAAACATTATTGTATGTTTATATTCTTTTTGATTTTATATTAAGTGAAAATTTAATATATTATATGTTTATACTATTAGAATAATATCTTATACGTGATTTTCATTTAGTTTTCTTCAAGCTTGTGGTTTTGTGTTGACATTATGACATATAGGTTATTGCAAATCGGTATGTGCTGTACAAAAATCTAAATATTGTAATAAAAATTATATTAATTGGTAAATTATAAAAACGAGGATTTCCTTCGAGATTACGATCACTTCATATGTGAATAACTTTTTACACGTCAATAGTTTTTTTTATTAGAATGAAGAAATATTGGAACATGAAGCATCGAAATAAATGCAATAAATTCGTGTTCTTATAAACTCTTCATTTTCCGATATATAATGAATGGATTTGAAGAACTTGATGATCAGTTATAGTCAAAGAACAAATTGGTTCTATAAGATTCCTAATTAAAAACAGTTTTGATAATCAATCTGCAAGTTGACAATCATCAATTTAAGTAGCAAAATCTGATTAAAAACGCAATGATTCCCATCATAAACGATGAGAAACAACAAAAAAATTGTGTACACTAACTTTTTTTTTTTTTTAAACATATGAAGAAATGTTGGAAAATGAAGTATTCATATAGAGGTATCAAAGCATTAATTGAAGAATTTTATCCATCGGTTCTGATACAGTAGTCAGAAGCAAATCAAATTCGTTGTTGATGATCATCATTCGAATCATAGTAGCATTAATTGCGCTGAAAAACCAAAGACAGATAGAATAATTGCAGATTGTAGTAAGTGATCACTATAGAACGATTAAGTAAGTGATCACCACTTGCATATATGAGATGTGTACGTATAGACTGGATCAAAAAGAGAAGAAAATGTAAGAGAATAATCAATCACGCTAACCATGCATGACGATGATTTTGCAAGGAAGATTGACTTTCAGGAATCATATACGCGGTGCACAGATTGCTATGTTGCATGGAAACTTCTCTAAGGTTGTCGTTCCCGTTTCCGAAATTCCATGGAAACGGATACTCCATGGAAACGTTTCCTGGAAGTATCGGGTATCATGGAAACGTTTCTGTGAAGTTTCCTTGAAGTTTCGGTGAAGTTTCCTGGCCATTTCTATTTTATTTTAGGGTTTACATGGACTTTTTAAGTTTAAATCCAAAAAAAGCTAATGGGCTACTGTTTTTAAGGCTCAAAACATATTTGATATTCCCCTAAGTCCCTCACCGCTCGTCGATCAAAATCTCTCCTGTCGTGAGTCGTCTCCTATCTTTTCGATCAAAGACGATTAGTCGATCACAATTCACAAGGATAATCAATCATCATTCATCACCATTTTTTCTTCTCCTAATTCCTAATCACATCATCGATTATGACTTCTCAAGAAACACAAGGAATCAAGGATCATCAACTACATCAATAGACCAAACTCCATTGTGGGACTTTACATCAATATATATATATATATATATATATATATATATATATATATATAGACACACACACATTTTTATATTGTCGTATCTCTGCCGTATACGTATCTTGATTTTTTAGGTTTTGCCGTTTCCCGTTTCCGTTCCGTATCCATTTCTCATTTGCCGTATCCGTTTCAGGGCAACTTAGACAAATTGTATCTTCAAATTTATGGGATTTCTAATTTTGTGGGACCTACTTTTGAAGATCTTTTTTACCTTTACTCCCTAAGACTATTTATTTTGCAACTTTCGTTCATTTTAATTTATCTTTTTAAGACTATATATGTTGGTTTATTAAATAAATAAAACAATAGAAGTCTTTTTTTTTTCTAATTAAATGGACCAACAAAAATCGTTTATGTAATAAATAAAAAAATATAAGAAGTTTGTATTATTATTTTAGTTAAATTAACAAACACAGACAATTGTTTTTTCGTTTATATACATTGATGAACATTTATTTATTTGTTTATTATGTTATGTTATAGGAAAATCTTTATAAATGGTCTAATATTATTTTCAAAAAAATCAAACTCATTCGATAACTTTTTAGGTTATCAAAAATGGTTTCTGTAATTTAAAAACTTTTAATGTATAGTCATTTTGGTTGACTATGTCTGTTTTCTTCTGTTAAATCTAACCATGTGAGGGTAAAATCGTATTTTCCATACCACATGGATCATCCTTGAAATTTTTTATAAATTATATTTATCAACTGATTTTATTAATAATAAAAAGACAACTCCAATCTACTCCACCCCCTCCCTCCTCTCTTCTAGCACATTCTCTTCTTCACTTACTTGAAAACTACCACCAGATTGCCGCTACCTTCCGTCACTGAGTCGCTGACTATTTTCAAAAAATACAATTTTGCCCTTTGAAAGTTTGTACTTCGTACATGAACAACTTTTCTTTTGTATTGTATTGTTTGTTACGAGTATAAGTTTAAGTTGGAGATTTTATGTTGTCGAAGAACAAAAAGTAGGAGTAGTTTGATTCATAGGAATGATATCCAAGAGATTTCGTTAGTTATGCTTGATAGATACACCGAAAGAAACACCTACCAAAATACATCAAAAGAAACACCTAACAAAAGATTCATAGGAATGATATTCCAAAATACAAGAACTTGAAAAAGATTTAGGTCAACTTAGTTGTCAGGGAGATGTTTGAGAATACTCTTGTACATAGTGATGGTTTTTCCTATTGGTGTATGAAGTCTTGTCCAACATGTAACACTTGGAACCAAGGTTTTGAAAACCGGACCGGCGATCGAATCGGTCGTCTTACTGGTTCGATGGTTCAAGTGGTCCAACCGGTCGGACCGGTCTCAAAAACCGGAAAATCGGATGATGTCATAATTATATTTAATTATATAAAAAATACAAAAAATAAAAATAATAAATATTTTTTAAAATTTCCGGATTTGACCGGTTCACACGAATACCAGTTTTTTTGCCTTTAAGAACTGGATCCGGGACCGGTTCCCGATCGAAATAGCCGGTCCAGTTTGATTTTCAAAACATGGCTTATAATTCAATGGAGAACCTGGGATTCATGAAGCATGTGACAAAGGAATGTATCTTCTGAGAAAGGAAATGATCTCCTAACAAAGGAATGGATCTCTTGATAATGGAACGAATATTCTAAAACGGGGTATTGAGCATGTCATACCCTGCCCAGCCGTTGGCAGAAACATCGAGTAGTGTGATGTAGGGATAATTGGATCTCGGCAATAGGTACAATCAAACACAAAGACATATTTTAAACATTTATGTATTATTGATTTTTGAAGGATTACATTGTTTTAGAGACAGACACGAACTCCTAAAATAACTATACTAAACTTCAACAAGTTCCTTGCAAACTTCCTTCATATTTGGGGGACACTTTTCCACACTCATCTTCCTTAAAATACATGCATTTTGTAAACTAACATATTGTTGGTGAGTGCACAAGTTTTTATTTTTGAATTTCCTTTAAGAATACTTTTCTTTTCTGAAAACCTTTGTTATTTATTTACCTATCATTCTATCCTTATAGGGTATCCTTTATAAATCTTAAACTAATATCTTTTCAGGATATCTAATTATCCTAACGTAATATAATTAGGATTATCTTTTGTTAACCCTAATTTATTATCTTTTAGGGACTTTTAACGATCCTAACGTATTTTAATTACCATACCTTCAGGCATCTCTAATGGTAATCTAAACTCTAAGGTAAATTTTATTCTGTTAACGTGAGCCCTATAATCGACGCTACGATTGTAAATATACCCATACTCACGATGCTTCATCATACATCGAATAGTAACTTATATGGAAGCTATCCTTCTGGGATTGTAACTA